AAAAAAAGATTTTGGTCAAATTATTTAATGTTCTAATTTCTTCATATAGAAAGGGACAGTAATAGCAATTATCTGGCAGGGCTAGGTTAAGGACTTAAAAATAGCAGTGTGGGCTAGGGAGATGGCTGTATGGGCACGAAGGCCTGAGTGTGGGTCTCCAGCATCTAAATAAAGACTTTGTGCAGCAGTGCCCAGGTGTGATCCCAGCCCTGGGGGAGCAGAGCCAGGCAGATGCCTGGGGCTTGGTGCTCAGTCGGTGTAGCTGAATCGGTGAGCTCCAGATTCAGTGAGAAAACCTATCTCAAAAAATAAAGTGAAGAAGCGACCGAGGACGAATACTAACATCAACCTCTGGCCTCCATACTTGCACATGCACACAGGCACCCCAAACACACATGCACACACAGACACATGGACACACACACAGCACATATGTAAAGTTCCAGGCACATGGTAAGCAGCCCACAGATGGGTGCGATGACCGCTCAGCCTGTCACCCCAGGAAGCAGAGGAAGAGGAGCCTCATTGGGAGGGGCAACCATCTCTGTCTGGACAAGAGCTGTCATTTCCCTGAAGCCTAGTCTTCTTTCAAACCCAGGGAGACTTCATCTCACTCCCGTTTCTGACCCCAGGCTACAAGCTCCTGTTCCTGACGCATCTTTAAATCCCCAAAGTGCTCCGAAGTGCCTGCTACATTTGGCGTTCAGTAAATATTAATGAGTGGTGGCTTCTGTGTGGTGAAGAGCGGTCCGATGTCACTCTCCCCCTGGGAGCTACACTTACTTGGGTACCGCCGGATGGATCTGATGGGCCGGTTGTTTTCATTTGTCTCTGTAATGTGGCAGACATATTTTTCATTTAACTTGACTGGGTATCTGAGGACGGAGTACACTCTGTACAAGCCATTCATCTGCTCCTCCAAGACCTCCACTGTGCTGTGGTTGCTAAGGTCCCTTTCTCCCCGGTCTAACCAGGTCACATTGGGGGTGAGATACCAGCCCTTAGACGTGCATGTGACCACATCTTCTTCATCAATCTTCTCAAACTTCACCTGGGGCATTTCAGAATCTGGTTGGAAAATAATAATAATAATAATAATAATAATAATAATAATTAGTTCCTTTTTGGTTTCAGTCCCAGGAGGCTCAAGCTCTTGGTGTTTATGCTAACCCTGATGGAGAAAACATGTTCCCAGGTTCACTGTAGCTAAAATTTTGGCCCAAGCACAGTGAGAGAAAAACGGGACTCTCCTGACACCTAGGCCCCTACTGATGCTGTCTTTATTTGGGGGAATCTTTTCTTCTTGGTGTGGGCTCACTCCAGATTCTCCACTGACCTCAGATGCCCCAACTGAGAATCACAGAAGAGTCTGTGACCACACCACTCTGAACGAACCCAATCTCATCTGATCTCGGAGGCTAAGCACAGCCAGGCCTACTTTGTACATAGGTGGGGGAATCATAGCAGAGTAATACAACTGGGAAGTGGTACATGCCTGTAATTTCCACCACTCAGAAGACTAAGGCAGGAAGATTGCTGTGAGTTCAAGCCCAGACTGGTCTACATAGAAAGATCCTGTCTCAAAAAAAAAAAAAAAAAAAGTGAGAAACAATTCTCATCACCTTCCATCTCTTTCAACTCTTACCCTGGAGGGAGGACTCAGCCCCCTGGGCTCTCTGTCAAAGGGACATAGTTTTCCATGCAACACTGGAGGGTAAGGATGCAATACTGGGGGAATATGGATTCAACCCTATCAATGTTTTTCAAACTGTTTTTTTATATTTTTAGATTTTTTTTATTTTATATGTGTGTGTTGCCTACACATATATCTATGTACCATGTACATGCCCTGTGCTCATGGAGGCCAGAAGAGTGGTTCGATCCCTGGAACTGGAGTTACAGATGATTGCGAGCCACCAAGTAGGTACTGGGAATTGAACCAGTGCTTTAACTAAGGGGCCATCTCTCCAGCCCTGAAACCTATGCTTTACAGTGAGAAGAGTGGAGCCTAGCGAAGCTAATGGATTGCCCAGCGTCATCCAGATGTACAACTCCAGCCGCCTGATTCCCAGTTCAGCCCCATTCACATTAAACTATGTCTGACCTTAGCGTTTTCCTGTGGGACTATTGTATCAGGGGTGTGTGTGTGTGTGTGTGTGTGTGTGTGTGTGTGTGTGTGTGTAGGGGGATAGTTACAATGTGTAACATTTGGGATTCAACCAGCGCAGCTTTGGCTGCCCTTCAGTTCATTCAAATTAACGAGTGAGTGATGCATCCTGGGACAGACATGGCACCTCTTGTTCAGAGAAACAATTTTAACTGAAGTAAATTGATATTCCACTACTCTTATAATAGGAATAAAGTCATTTGGGTTAGGAAAATGAGAGCACCCAGAGAGAAAATTTAGAGCATATTATGAACAGAGGTCAAACATGAAACCAAGTTCGTCCACGACGTCCCTTTACCTTCCACTATGAGCTTAACGGTACTCTCCCCTCTACCGCTGGGGGCGACAGCTGAGCACTTGTACAAAGCTTCGTCCATGAAATCCACGTTTCGTAGCAGAAGGGACAGAATCCCCTCCGAGATTTCACTCTGATCCACAGAGACTCTTCCCTCATACAAGGCATTCTGGTCTTCAAGTTGCTCCGCATTATCGTAAAACTGGTAAACCACCTTTGTGAACACTTGAAAGAAGTCATAGTACCTAAAAAAGCGATAAAAGTCACGGTCTTCCACCTCATATTCCTCTATTATGTCTTCTCTCTCCCAGTAAAACTCGAGGTTTTCTGTGCTTTCTATAAAGGAGAACTCGCAGTCCAGGGTCACATCAGTGAACGGGTGGGCCCGAACCTCTTCTGTGGACACTGGATTGTCAAAGAAGAAATAGAGTTAGTAAAAGCCAATGACCAGGCGGCGGTGGTGGCGCACGCCTTTAATCCCAGCACTCGGGAGGCAAAGCCAGGCGGATCTCTGAGAGTTCGAGGCCAGCCTGGTCTACATTGTGAGATCTGGGACAGGCACCAAAAACTACACAGAGAAACCCTGCCTCGAAAAACCACACACACACACACACACACACACAAGCCAATGACCACTGCATCGGGTAAGGGACAACAGCAGGTGAGTCAGAGAAGGATTTACTGGAGGGGGCTGGTCATGTATAAAATCACTAGAAGGCTGGGGAAAGGAGCCTAAAGATGTGCAGGGAGTGTGCGGCTTGCGACGTGTGCCCCGCCCGCCCCTGCGTTCGGCTAGGCACAGAATGACACAGCAAAGTGAGTCCTGTCAGAGTGGACCTGGCAGGAAGCTGGGTTGCGCAGGCGTTGGCTCCAAACCCACGCGGTGCTTGCCAGAGTCACACCGGCGAAAGAAAACTGTCACATGCACTGGGCACCATAACCTTTCCATCTCTTCGGTCGGTGGCCAGCTCAGCCTCTCTGTAAACATAGTTGACTGACAGAGCGGGCATCACTCCCAGAACCTCAATGTCGCGGCAATCTTGACGACGTTCCTTACTCTCTGCTTCAGTAATCCGGGAAAGGCACATTGGCATGGCAGAGAGACGGTTTATGCGTGAAAATCTTTCAGTAAACTAACCTATCCTACCTATGCTACCAGCAACAGTTGAAGACTGTAACAGTAGGATTTCAACTTGCTTGCCCCCCCCCACCTCATCTGTTTGTTGTCTGTCTGTCTGTGTCTCTGTCTCTCTCCAAAAAGGAGGAAGAATTGGTGAGTGGGGGGTCTCAGTAAGAGTGTGGCTTGATATAAAAATAAGCTCTGACAAAATGGAAGAAAAATAAGTTAAGCACTAAGAGCAAGTCTGGGTATCACATTAAGTGGACAAGGAAGCTTCTAAGCCATCAGCAAAATGCAGCCAGCCAGACATCCAGTAGAGGACATCCGAGAGGACAGACGACTCAGTCTGCCCATGCCAGCTCGCAGGGACCTGATGGCTGCTGATGGGGCTGTCAGCTATTTGGTAAAACGTTACTATGGGTGTCTATGGGGGCTTTTGTATTAGGTTAACTGAAAGGGCAGTCTTGAGTAAAGCAGTTACCCTCCCTAAGGTGAGTGGTCCCCATTCTATCCGAGTCTAGAACAGAACCTAAACAGCCGGCTGTCCTACCAGTATTAAGAATGCCTGCCCAAATGCTTGGGCAATCTTTTTCATGCCTTCATACCTGAGGTGAGACATGGGCTCCTCTTGGGTCTCAGGTCTTTGGATTCAGATCAGAATCATACCTCTGGCTTTCTTGAGACACCTCCCCTAATTGTGTGTGTGTGTGTGTGTGTGTGTGTGTGTGTGTGTGTGTGTGTGTGTGTGTGTGATGCGTGTTGTGTTCATGCTAAAGAGCCCTGACTTTATCAGTTTATATTTATTTTGTGTTTACAATATGCTAAACATATTGTAAGACCTTTCTTTCCTGGTTTTAACCTTAATCTGCAGACTACATTACGCAGATACTATCTAACACCAGGAGGTGGGCTGTTCAGGGACACAGGTCACTTTGTGGGCGGTAGTAGATTCTGTTGAGTCTCAGGATTCTGGTTCCGAAGCTCTCCATCTGAAATGTGCTCTTTCAGATAATAGTAGTCATTCTTTCTAAAGTTGACAAATCAATTACCGAGGAAACGGATGAATGAGTACAGAGAAAGGCAATATAGAAGGGATAGCACATGTTTACGCCATGTTTAGAAGGATGGATTCGCACATTTCCAATAGTGGTTTCTAAAGTCCTGGTCTGAAAAATTACAAATCCAAGCTCTAGTGCTAAGTAACCCCATACTAATCATGTGGCTTCAGGCAACTTCATCTCTCTGCATTTATTTCTGTCTATATAATTAGGACACCACCTGCTCCAGGTGGTTGTGAAACACCTTGGGATTTTAGTGACTGTTTTTATGTGACACGACTCAGTCATCTTCCAGAGGGACA